CAGCCAGGACCGGAGGCATACCTGAGCTCTGACCCATTTCCAGCACCCCAGAAAGGAAATTCCAGGTCCAAAGGGCGCTGCAGCGTGGTTGCCGAGGGCAAAGCAAAACTTGCCCTTGACCGGGGAGCAGCCGGTGCTGTGGTGAGGGCAGGGGGCTGCCTCGCCTGCCCATGCCCCCCAGCACGATACTTGTGGCCGGGGAGAACAGGGAGGCTGAAGCACCAGCAATGGGGTGGGTGCTGTGGGGTGGCTGCCACGGCAGGACGTGGGGTGAGAGTGGGGTGTGGGGCATCTGTGCTTTGGAGCATGCCGGGATGGGCACAGCGAGCCCCTCGTCCTGCTCCCTGAAAACCATCCTAACACTTGCCATGTGCTCGGCCCAGCAGGGATGGGGCGATGGCGGAGGACTGCCCTGCGCCGTGGGGACATTTTAGGGGCTAACATGACACATGGGGGCTCCTGCACTTCAGCCTCCTTGGGACCTGGGTGCTCAGTGCCACACGTGTCCCCATGTTGACCTGCAGCAATGCCCCATGCCACGCGTGTCCCCACGCTGGTCTGCAGCCATTCCCACCCAGACGTGGAACAGGACACACCCAGCACAAAAAGTCCATGCTCTTCAGAAAGCCCCCCCAGCTCCGGGCCGTCTCCATGATGGCTGTGTCCTGTCCCCGCAGGTGCTGTCGATGGCGACGATGACGATGCAGCTGGGTGGGCTGATGCTGGCGGTGCTGGGCTGGCTGGGCTCCATCCTCACCTGCGCCCTGCCCATGTGGAAGGTGACGGCCTTCATCGGCTCCAACATCGTGGTGGCCCAGGTCTTCTGGGAAGGGCTGTGGATGAACTGCGTGTACGAAAGCACAGGGCAGATGCAGTGCAAGGTCTACGACTCCTTGCTGGAGCTCACCTCCGACCTGCAAGCAGCTCGCGCCTTGGTGGTCACCTCCATCTTCGTGGCCTTCTTTGCCTTCCTCACTGCCATCTCGGGTGCGGATTGCACCCGCTGCGTGGATGACAAGAGCACCAAGACCAGGATTTCCATCGTGGCAGGTGCCATCTTCGTCCTGGCCAGCATCATGCTGCTCATCCCTGTTTCCTGGTCTGCTAACAGCATTGTCAGCAACTTCTACAACCCCATGGTGCCCCAGGCCCTCAAGAGAGAGCTGGGGGCTGCCCTCTACATCGGCTGGGCCTCCAGTGCCCTCCAGCTCTTTGGTGGGGGCATCCTGTGCTGCTCAGGACCCCCGTCCCAGCAGGACCCCTACCCCAAGAAGTACAGAGCGGTGAAAACCTGCAACCCGATGGGCTACCCCATGAAAGACTACGTGTGAGCCACCGCGTCTGGGTGCTAG